GTAAATAGTGGTGATTATTGCCAAGGGACTATTGCCACCCTTCTCTCAAACTTTTCTCTAAACTGAGTTAGAAAGACAAAAAACCAAAACCCAAACTACTGCAATTGAAACTAGTAAGGCATTTATTATGCAGTTTGCAATAGAGTTGGGAGTTTTAGAGTTTTATTAAGAACCAGAAGCTCTGGGTTCTAATCCTGGGTCTTTTATTTCATTGCAGTAATTTTGACAAGACCCCTCACTTCTTTGAGCTTCATTTTCTGATCTGTAAATAGCTCATGAAATAGGCCTTTCCCGTTTTTTGGAGGCCTTTCTCGTCACATTTCACATCACATGAAATGGTGACTTTGAAAAGGGCCTCCCAAAACTGCAGAGTAGATGCAGAGACAATGGGCTGCCGGGCATTGTGTGACTCTGCTGTCATAGCTGCAGCTGGTCACCACCCCGCCCCCACCGCCTGCCCCCCAACAGAAGATAAATCTCCATCTCAGCTGTTACTCTGGGCCCACATTTTCAGTTGCTTGTTTATTAATTCACTTTAAAGTCCCACCTGCACTTCAGGCTCAATAATTCAAGAATAACTCAGTTTTCCTAAATCTGTATCTCTCTTGGTTGCCTCATCTCTGCTGATGGTACTGCCATTCTTCCAGTTTCCCTACCTGAGAACATTAGAACCACATTTTGTCTCTAAATCTCTTTCCGTCCCACAATTCTTACCAAATGCCAGGTAATAATCAGTTTTATTTTTATACTCTCTCTTGCATCTGTCCCTCATCTTTTCTATTACCACGTCCACTGTTCTAGTTTTGGTTTTCATTCCCTCTTTCCTCCACTTTCCTAACTGGTCTCTTGCCCTTCAGTCTGTTCTATTGGCTGTTAAAAACACATTTTCCTAATGTGTTCTTGCCTACTTAAAACCAAAACACAACACAACAAAAGAAATAACAAAATGGCTCTCCAATTCCTTTTATATCAAATTCAAACTTCTTACCCTCTATGTGGCTCTGAATAACCTCTTAAACCTTAATTAATTAATTGTTCAACTTATTCATTCAACAAACATTTTTGGGACTCTACTGTATACCTAGCCCAGTGCCAGTCACGAGAAATACAAACACAAATA